CTTCCTTATAGAAAACAGATTTGTTGGATAATTTTAGTCTTTTGTGGATCCAAAATGTCTATTGTTTAAAATATTGTTTTCTAGCAAAAACTATGTGGTCTTTTATCAAGCTCTCAAGTATATTTTCAACTATAGAGGTAAACTAACAATTCTGTAGTTGCTTGATACTGATTTTGATCCATTTTTAAACATAGGCAGCACAGTGGCCTTGCACCAATCCAGTGACACTGAACCAGTCATTAAAGAGTCTCTAAAAATTAAAAACAATGGTTTTGAATTAACAGAACTCAACTCTTTGAAGATACATGGATGTAATCCACCTGGTCCAGGTGCTTTATTCACCTTTAATTTATCTCAATGTTTTGGGACCATATCAGTTTTGAGGTTCCTTTGTGGCTATGTCAATACTTTCCCCAATATGGACTTTAGTTCCCATATTTTACTTTGTATACACAGAGCTGAAGAAGATATTTAATACATTTGCCATCTCTTTGCCCCCAGTCACCCATTCTAAATTATCTTGCAAAGGGCATACATGCTCAGCACTGACCTTTTTACTATTAATATATTTGAAGAATTTTGGGGAGTTTGTCCTACTTTCTTTCTCAACCAGATATTTGTTTTGAATTTTTGAGTCCTTGATTTCCTTCTTACATACTGTATGCTGTTATATTCTTTGTAACTGTTAAAGTATGATAGTCTTAATATTTATAGATTTTTTTACTTTGCATGTTAGCCACATTGATGTATTTGTAGGCTTTCAAACTTATTGTCAATGGGAATATATTTTTATGTGTGTCAGTGCGTTTGCATACAGTCCATTTGAAACAAAAGTGGGAGCGGCGAGTGTGGGGGCCCTGTTCCTGTCCAGCTCTCCTAAAGTAACTGCCTGTCTCCTGGAATCTCCTCCCTGCTCTTGAGACTGTGCTGGGAGACACAGCAAACCTTCTGGCAATTGCACGTATTGATGTATTATCCTGGAGGAGTTGGACTGCCTGTGCAACCTCTGTAGGGTCCAGGTATTACCTCATGCTACCAGTAGTGACACTGACCCTAGCCAAATGCAAAACTAGTGAAACACAGTCAGAAAAGACGAGTAGGGAAAAAATGTCAGTGACCTCCACCTGTAAAACCATTCCTGTTTGGGGAATTGTCTCATTGTTGCCCATCTAGTGCACCTGTTATTAATTTCATTAACGCCAAAGCAGCTGAGACTGATTAACAACCCCCTCTGCTACTTAACTGACCAGATCAATATCCCAGGAGTTTAATTGACTTGATGCCATACTCTGAATAAAAAGTGTTCCTTTACTGTTTTTGGGCTGTATATATTTATATATATATATATATATATATATATATATTTATATATATATATACAGGTGAAACTCGAAAAATTAGAATATCGTGCAAAAGTTCATTTATTTCAGTAATGCAACTTAAAAGGTGAAACTAATATATGAGATAGACTCATTACATGCAAAGAAAGATAGTTCAAGCCGTGATTTGTCATAATTGTGATGATTATGGCTTACAGCTCATGAAAACCCCAAATCCACAATCTCAGAAAATTAGAATATTACATCCAATCAATAAATCAAGGATTGTACATAGAACAATATCGGACCTCTGAAAAGTATAAGCATGCATATGTACTCAGTACTTGGTTTAGGCCCTTTTTGCAGCAATTACTGCCTCAATGCAGCGTGGCATGGAAGCTATCAGCCTGTGGCACTGATGAGGTGTTATGGAAGACCAGGATGCTTCAATAGTGGCCTTCAGCTCTTCTGCATTGTTCGGTCTCATGTCTCTCATCTTTCTCTTGGCAATGCCCCATAGATTCTCTATGGGGTTCAGGTCAGGCGAGTTTGCTGTCCAATCAAGCACAGTAATCCCACGGTCATTGAATCAGGTTTTGGTGCTTTTGGCAGTGTGGGCAGGTGCCAAGTCCTGCTGGAAAATGAAGTCAGCATCCCCATAAAGCTTGTCTGCAGAAGGAAGCATGAAGAGCTCCAAAATCTCCTGGTAGATGGCTGCGTTGACCCTGGACTTAATGAAGCACAGTGGACCAACACCAGCAGATGACATGGCTCCCCAAATCAACACAGACTGTGGAAACTTCACACTGGACTTCAAGAATCTTGCAGTGTGTGCCTCTCCATTCTTCCTCCATACTCTGGGTCCTCAGTTTCAAAATGAGATGCAAAAGTTGCTCTCATCAGAAAAGAGGACTTTGGACCACTGAGCAACAGACCAGGTCTGATTTTCTTTAGCCCAGGTAAAACTCTTCTGACGTTGTTTGTTGTTCAGGAGCGGCTTGACAAGAGGAATACGACATTTGAAGCCCATGTCCAGGATCCATCTGTGTGTGGTGGCTCTTGATGCTCTGACTCCAGCCTCAGTCCACTCCTTGTGAAAGTCCCCAACACTTTTGAATGGCCTTTTCCTGACAATCCTCTCCAGGCTGCGGTCATCCCTACTGCTTGTGCACCTTTTTCTTCCACACTTTTCCCTTCCACATAACTTTCTATTAATGTGCTTTGATACAGCACTTTGGGAACATCCAACTTCTTTTGCAATTCCCTTTTGAGGCTTTTCCTCCTTATGGAGGGTGTCAATGATGGTTTTCTGTACAACTGTCAGGTCAGCAGTCTTTCCCATGATTGTGATTCCTACTGAACCAGACTGAGAGACCATTTAAAGGCTCAGGAACCCTTTGCAGGTGTTATGGCTTAATTATCTGATTAGAGTGGGATACTTTGAGCCTAGAATATTGCACCTTTTCACAATATTCTACTTTTCTGAGATTGTGGATTTGGGGTTTTCATGAACTGTAAGCCATAATCATCACAATTATGACAAATCACGGCTTGAACTATCTTGCTTTGCATGTAGTGAGTCTATCTCATATATTAGTTTCACCTTTGAAATTGCATTACTGAAATAAATGAACTTTTGCACGATATTCAAATTTTTTGAGTTTCACCTGTATAAATATACTGTATAGTTATAATCCTACACCCACAGTTGATCCAGAGGAAGGCAAAAACCCAGCAAAACACGATCCAATTTGCTCCTGCAGGGGAAAATATTATTTTCTGATACCCGAGAGGCAATCAGATATTCCCTGGATCGACTTTACCTATAAATGTTGGTATCCAGTCATATTCTGTGTATCCAGGAAAGAATCCAGGCCTTTTTTAACCTCCCTGGAGGTATTCCCGAGTGTAGCTCGGGGTAAAGTTTCGGCACCACAAGCGGTACCCCGAGCTACACTCGGGAATTCCTTGCAGCGTTGCTCCGGGAACTCTTCTGCACTTACCTTGTCCTTCGCTCCTGCAATGTCCCCCCTGAGGCGTCCCCGGCAATGTCCTTCGGCCGATGCCGGCATCTATCTTCCGGGTTCCGTTCCCTGCAATGTCGGGACGTACAGGGGACATAACCGGCGGGAAATTTAAAAATGTCAAAAATTGAGATTCACTAAATACACTAAAATCACACAGTAAAACATTACTGTATCAAACCATTTCACATACATTTTGTCCCTAGTGCTTTGTCCTGTGCCCTGCCTGCCTGTATTCTTACTGTTCTTTCTACCTGGAACCTGAGAAATGTCCATGGCGTCCAAAAAGCATCCCTTTATGTCAAAAGCGGTTTTAGACCAGCTAGAGAACTGCAATAGTAAATTAGAACCACTTGCAGAATTGAGTGATAGTGATTCGTGGGGAAATTCATCATCAGACACTGAAAATGATTTTGCGACTTTGCTCAGTGATGTGCGAACTTGGCGCTCTATTTCAAATTTCAGTGTTTTTGGTTTGATTATATTATTGAATTACATTTATTATTATTATAATATTATTTTTTATGATTATTTATTAAATTATAATTTATGATTTCGTGTTTAAAATTTTATCATACCCGGGATGTTTACAAGACTCTTGTTCTGACAGATTTCAGTGAGTTATTCCTAAAAATTACAGCCTACAATAAAAAAAATACATATTTCCATGCAAAAAAAGTAGCGATTTGAGCACAGAAATACTGACATAATCAGACCACTAGGGAGGCTACAGCAATCCACGTTGTTGGCCAGAACCAACTCTTGAGGGAGTCTATTCCACATTTTCACAGCTCTCACTGTGACAAAACTTTTCCGTATTTGGAGATTAAATCTCAATATGTGTAAATTAATTGGTTTTACGCGAAGTTTACAAATGGCAGTATTGATACTGAAATTTTTTTCTTCTTAATGGTGGTGATCAGAAACTTATAGTGGGACTGCAGGACTGCAGGATTGCGGTGGGCATTCTGACACTGGGGGGAACTGACTTGGTGTCACTGACATCCCCAGTGACACCAATACAGTGATCAGTGCTAATAAAAAGCACTGCCATTGTACTAATGGCTCTGGGCAAGAAGGGGTTAATATCTGGGGCGATCAAACAGTTAACTGTGAGCTGTGTGCTGTTTTACTAAATGTTCTGTGTTTCACTGTAATCACACTGCTTTGTATGGCTCTGCTATTCATTATTTGGAGGATGCCCTAGGATGGAGATGGATTAAGGATAACTTGGATATCATTGAGGGAAACACCAATCCTGGTATAGGCCCCCTTCCTTAAAGGTTAAGTTCATTTTTTTTTTAAATAAAATCCAGCTCCCCTATGTATCAATATACCATTAATGTACCGCAGTTGCAAAAATATACAATAAATTTGATCTGGAGAGCAAGGCCTTACCTTAGCCTTTGGTAAATTTCTTAGAAAGCTTTTTCAATTCCTGGAATGAAGACAGAGGACAGAGGAGCCAGAAGGACCCCAGAAGCGAATTACCAGCTGTTCTCATTAGCACATACATCCTGCACTGACCTCATTCGTGCACACCCTGTATCCATTAACTGTTTTTTACAGCATCCTCAGAATCTCTCCCATGTGCATTTGCCTGGCTACCCCAGCATCTCTATGGGCTCAGGTCGAGTGATTGGATAGATGCTGTGTCCTCCTATTATATAGTTTTGGTAAATCTAAAGGATATCATACAGAGATTGTACAATCAGAATGTACAGTGTATGGCCACCCTTAAACACCTAAAATTACCTAGTTACACTCTCATTGTAATTAATTGTTAATGGCACACCAAATACAGAAACAAGCACATGATTTTCCACATGAAAAAAATGGGTGACAAATGCAGCAAAATACGCAGTCCAAAAGTGCAACACGCATCACGCCAAAATGTTCCATGAGCCTTTGCCATGTGTAGCGCAGCCCATTAAAATCTATAGGCTGCCCTATGTGTGTCACTGGAAAAACTAGCCAAAAAACATGCACTCCATCTACTTTAGGTGTGAATGGAGCCTGAAAGTGAAATTGGTGTGTTTACACAGAACAATGAGGCTCCATTCACATATGTGTGTTTCTAAATGCATGGCATTCTGCACAAAAATTGCACGCTTTGCCATGCATTTCAGAGTCATGCTGCCAATGTGCCTTGTGTTTGTGCTGTCATTACATGGTAAAGGTACCCCAAGTGCAGCAAACGCACCAAAAACTGTGGTAACACACCGTGCTCCACTCCAAAAAAAGTTCTGAAACTTTTCTGTGGCGACTGTTGCGTGTATGGCAGCTTGTTCAAATGAATGGACTGCGCTATGTGTGATGAATGAAAACGCACCAAAACGCCAAAAAAATGCATGTGGGAAATGTGAGTTTTCACTACATGGAGATGTGAACAGGGCCTGGCAAATGAGTGTCTCCATCCACTCCCTCCTATGTACTTGTATAAACTATATACAGTGTATACACTATATAATCTGATTGTACAATCTCTGTACAATTGTGCTTAGATTTTCCAGAACTATGGAATAGGAGGACATACCTGAACAATCCATTCAATTTGTATCAAATCAGACAGGCCCTTGTACTACATAGCTGAGGGGAGGAAGGTAGTATTGTAATAAGGGAGGTGTTGTCCAGAGGGGTGAACACACCCTATCACACCCTCTTCTATGATGCAACAAGGAAATGAAAGCTTCTGGGAAGTGGCCTACAGGAAGTGAATGCTGAGAGACCATTGACAGGAAATGATGCAATCTGAAAATCCGTTCAAAATTTCACAGAAACTGACAAAACAGTAAGTGTCCTGTGGATGAGGTAAGTGAGAGAAAAGCACATTGGGATGGCTGGGCTGGAAATGACATTGGAAAACTCTATTTACTATGAAAAGTGAAATTCTGCCCAAAAAGGTGAACTTATCCTTTAACCACTTCCTGTCCGGACACTTTTACCCCCTTCCTGTCCAGGGCAATTTTTAGCTTTCAGCGCTATCACACTGAATGACAATTGCGCGGTCATGCAATACTGTACCCATATGAATTTTTTACCATTTTTTTGAGACAGATAAAGCTTTATTTTGGTGGTATTTATTCACCGCTGGGATTTTTATTTTTTTTACTATGTAAATGAAAAGTCCAAAAATTTTGAAAAAAAGTGATTTTTTAAATAAAATTTTGCAAATAAATAATATTTCATCATAAATCTTGGCCTAAATTTATTCCGTTATTTTTTTAGTAAAAAAAAAAAAAAATCCAAATTAGTTTATAACCAAAAATTATAATTTTTAAACATTTTTTTTACATTTTTTTTTTTTTTTTTTATATTTTTTTATTTTTTTTTTATTTTTTTTACATAATGTCACCCTAGTAGTACAGTGTCACCATGGTGACACTGTACTACTTGTGGGGGGTGATGAAGATTTTTTTTTTTTTTTTTTTACACTGATTGCTTTTACACCCATATAGGATGTAAAAGCAATCATTTCTCTTTCTCTCTGTCTGCATTCTTGCAGTCATTGAGAATTACTGAGTGAGCTGTGAGTGGCCACAGCTTGTCACATGGTACAAGGCTGTTGTGAATAGCCTTGTACCATGTGACCTCTGTGATCATTTACAGATTTCACACGTAGTAAGCAATGATGTCACAAGTGACATCTTGCTTACTACTTTGCATGTGATCACTGATTCGCCAATCAGTGATCACATGATCAGTACCTCGTACAGAGGTCCCATCCAATGATCGGTGTTTCACTGTGTCCGGAGGACACAGCGGGCACCGGATCTCGGTGGTGCGCGCTCCCAGGGAGGGCGCACAGCTAGAAAAGGCGGGTGCCGTTTATGAACGGCAACCCGCCCCTGGACTGCCATCGCCCTGCCGTTTATAAACAGCAGGCGGACGGCAAGAGGTTAAAATGGAAAGCGCATAAGACCTGATACTTCTGTTAGGCTATAAGATCAGTTGAGAGCATTGGTATAATGGTGGCTGGATTGCACGGCGTTTGGTGGATTACAAAGAGGCACAGACACAGGATTTTTATGGACAATATATGAACTTTTATTTTTCATTAATTTGGACTCAGATCTATTATATTTTGTTAATAAAGCACACACACACACATATATATATATATATATATATATATATATATATATATTATATATATATAAAACTTATTTTTTTTTTAATTACATGTTATTTTAATTTTTTGGAAGATATCACTATATATTTCTCACTGAGAGTGTGGCACAGTTTGGTTGCACATTTTACTGTGTGGCGCTGTTTATATAATATTCCTATTATTGGTCATGAACTGCAGGGTAAACTGAAAAGAGGCAGAGAATGAGCTGGTCGGGATCTGGTTGGTGGGGTCATGTATAAGCTGTCATTTCTCTCTACTCTAATAAGATTGATTGATTGATTGATTGATTGACTGGCAGTTAAAGGAAATGGAAGTTCACATCATATACTTTAATTTTATTACATATGTATTGTAAAAACAAAATAAATATAAATTCAAAATATAGTGCTACATGAACAACAAGTGCCCACATGTTTTAAAAAGTGCAAAACATTTTACACAGATCAAATATCAAACATAATACACATATGACAACATTAATGCAGTTTAATATTGAATGATTAGAAAATTTCCACTACCACATGAAACTTGCAATTTCCAAAGACTCCCCAAAAGTGTGCCTTTCACCACACTCAGAAAACACACTTACCAAAAGTGTGTGCCTATCCTTTGACAGATTAGGCAAACACAGCTTGTATATTCCCAGACAAGGTGGTATTCCCCAAAGCTTTCCCTTTAAGCACTGCTTTTCCTCCTCCATCTTCTTAATCCCTCAGGTGGACATAGAGATATCAAAGGAAAATTCTCACAGTGTGATAATGTTCAATTAAATTTTATTTAAAAATTATGAAATATACTCACATAAAATAATACAATAGCAGGCTTGTAGTATACCACAAGCAATCCAACTGACATACAGGATTGGCAAAAGAATATAAGTGAGCAACTGACTGTCAGCTGCTCAAACCTTGGCAGCTCTCACAGTTAAAATCCAGCACAGATACAGACCAGAGAAGCTGTGAGCTTTAGGCTCCATTCCCTACGCATTTCATCCTTCAATGACTATATCAAGGGGAATGGGTATCGCTGGAAGCACTGCTCTTATATATCCTATCTTGATCCATGCAAGGATGGATCCCCTGAGCAGGGACCTCACAGAAAGCTCAAAGAGACAAGAAACACTACTGATACAGAACATCTACTTTGACAGGCATGTTTATCTACCACCAGAATTAATTTCATTAGAATGAACTACATAGCAGCATAAAATCTTCTACCAAATTCAAATCATGATAAAATCTCTCACCAAATTAATTATATACAAAAAGCCAAAAAATATAAATTGGTATTAATGCATATGCTGATATATTACTGTAAAACCTCTCTAAAAACCGTAAACACATATAACAACAAATAAATAAAACACATAAGTAAAAATAAAAAAATCAACTTCCTGTTATGATCAAATACCTAAAAATTGCAAAATAATAAATAAGTCAAAAGAGGACCCCATATATAATAACTATATTGCAAAAAATTTACCAAAATGAATAATACAATACAAAGGGGGTTATTTAAAAAAAAAAAGTAATTATAATGATAGATACAAAAAAATAGAAGTCCAAGTGAATAACATATACACAAAATATTATGGATCCTAGTTAGGTGCACTGTCCCTAATAAAACGGGGATAAAAAAGGGGAGTGCCCCATAATCACCTAAGAGGTATACATTCTCTGAAAGACACCATGAAAATACATGTAAAGAACTATTCCTAAATTACAAATCACTAATAAAAAAATTGATGTCAAGTTCCACATTGAGTCCTTTGAGTTATAAGGTCTGCATATTGTAAATCCATCTAGTTACTTTTTGGAAAATGCATCTCACCTAATTACTCCCAGGCTCTTCAGTGGGATCTCACAGTTTCAATACCCCAAAACTGTAAATAAGTAGGGTTTCTGTTATGTACCTCCCTATAATAAAAATACAGGCTATTGTTTGTGTATCCAATATCCAACATGTTATAATTATGCTCAGAGATCCTCTTATGTAGTGGCCTCTTCGTACGACTCACTTATTGAAGTTTACATGGCCACTCTAAAACATACACAACCTGTGTAGAATTACAAGAAACAAAGTCCTGAATCTCATAAATTTTACAAGTTTGTGTGGAAACAAAGGCTTTTCTCTTCCTTATCCACTTGCCCTCCGGAAGATTTACCCCCTTTCATGACCAGGCCTTTTTTGCTACTCTGCATTGTGCTATTTTAACTGGTAATTGCACAGCCATGCAGCGCTGTCCCCAAACAAAATGTATATAATTTTTTTCACACAAATAGCGCTGTCTTTTGGTGGTATTTGATCACCACTGGGTTTTTTATTTTTTGCGATATAAACAAAAAAAAAACAACATTTTCTACTTTCTGTTATAAAAAATATCCAATAAACTCAAATGTGAACATAACCTTAGGACAAAATGTATTCTGCTACATGTCTTTGGTAAAAAAAAATCTCAATAAGTGTGTATTCACTGGATTGTGTGAAAGATATAGCGTCTACAAACTATAGAATAGATACTGGAATTTACACACCTGTTACTTTCTGACTGCCTATCACCTTTCTTGAGGTGCTAAAATGCCAGTACAGTAACCCCCCCCCTCCCCAAATAACCCCTTATAAGAAAGTAGACATCCTAAGCTATTTGCTGAATTTGCTGAGAGGCATGTTGAGTCCATGGAAATTTAATTTTTTTCCACATCTTTCTGCAAACTGACAAGAAGATATATATATTTTTACACAAAGTTGTCATTTAAAATGATATATTGCTCTCACATACCATGGGTATATGTGAAGCTACACCCCATTATATATTCTATCACTTCTCCTGAGTATGGGGATACCACATGAGTGAGAATTTTTGGGAGCCTAGACAAATGCAGCAGCCCAAAATCTAATGACCTCTTTGAAAGCCTCATTTTACTTCCTCACTACCTGTTACAGTTTCAGAAGCTCTGAAATGCCAGAATAGCACAACCCCCCCCCCCCCCCCCCAGATGACCCTTTCTTGGAAAGTAGGCACCCAATGGAATTTAATAAGAGGCATGGTGAGTATTTTGCAGATCTATTTTTTGTCACAAGGTTTGGAATGTAAAAAGAGAAAAGAAAAAAATAATTTTAATTTTCCAGAAACTTGTGGCAATAAATGAGATCTGCAAAATACTCACCATACCTCTTAGCAAATACCTTGGGGCATCTACTTTCCAAAAAGGGGTCTCTGAAACTGTGATTGGTAGTCAGGAAGTGTACTGAGGAAATAAAGCCCTTTAAAAGCCTCATGGTGCTTATTAGATTTTGGTGTCCTGTACATGGCTAGACTGTCTTGAAGTCTCTCACATGTGGTATTTCCATACTTGGGAGAAGTAGCAGAATGTATTTTGGGGTGTAATTCCACATATAACCATGGCATGTGTGAGCAATATATCATTAGCATGTCAATCTGCTATTGGCCAGGCAGGACACTCCTCCTTCTGAGTGGGCGTCATATGATGTCCTGTCAGAAGGTGCCGCTCACGTAGGTGTAGGGCTGAGCAGTGGCGCGATCTGTCACCGGCTGTGTCCACGGGACACAGCTGAGGACAGATCACTACACCGGCTTGTTGCCGGTGTTATGTGACTGCTGTGATCAATCACAGCAGGTCACATGGCAATAGTACAATGGGTGGCTTCCTTTCATGCCATCCATTGTATATGATTGTGTTAGCTGTGATCAAAGCAGTCACATGGTACAGACAGGGCCAATCACTGCCCATCTGTATCATGTGATGAGCTTTGCCCAATCACAGCTAATCACAACAAAAGACTGAATGAATCAGTTTAATTCAGTAACAATGGTTGCAAAAATCAATTAAATACATTTGTATTAGCAGTCATAATGTGTAAAAAAAAAAAATCCTGATCACTTGCCCAGAGTAGTTCAATGTTATGTTGTAACATTGTATTGCTCTGGTCACAGTGCGACTAGTAAAAAAAAAGAAAAAATGTTAATAAAAAAAAAATACAAAAAAAAAAAATATATTTTTTTTTTTTTACATACTGTCACCAGTCAGTGTCCCTGATCACCGCCACACCAGTTATATAATAACGCTGTACTGGATTGGTGAAAATATGTCTGTTTTCTAAAAATGGATTATTTCAGAGGTAAATGTACTATCCTGGTGTTTTGGGGATTGGGCGTCAGTACATTGACTGATCAATTGTCAGATATACCATGGTTTGTGGACTCTATAACTTTCCTACAAACTAAATAATATACACTAATCTGTGGTATTTTCATCAAAGATATGTAACAGAATATATTTTGTCCTAAATTTATGAATAAAGGTTTTTTCTTTGCAAAATTTATAACAGAAATGAAGAAAAAACACGTCAAACTACATTCATTTTAACCCCTTCACGCCTAAGGGTAAAACAAATCTAAATGCCTAAGCACAATTTTGCAATGTTGACATGTTTTTTGTGTTAGTAAAACTGTACATATCAAGACAACTATTTTGTACATCCAGGTGAATTATACCGCGTTTTTTTCAGGACAAATTGGGCTTTCATATCTCCTGATTTTTTTTTTTTATTATCAAAGGAAAACCTACCACCAAAGAACAACCCAAAATAAATTCTCCAGCTCTTGACGATCGCAGCGATACCATATATGTGTATATTATTTGTTGTTTGTACCTGTAGTATTTTGTTTTTGTTTTTTGTTTTTTTTTTTACCTAAAACACACTGACACTGACATTGACACTAACTGACACTGATGCCAATTTTTTTTATAAATCCTGACCTTTGACCCTGACCTTGACCCAAAACAATAACCCTGGCACTGAACTAGATCAAACCTTCATCTAGGTATTTTTCCTTTACTTTTTTTATTTTTTTTTTTTTAATATTTATTTATTTATCTTTTTTTTTTTTTTTTTTTACAAACATTTTTTTCTTCTCTATGCCAGGAATCAGAGAGATACAATGTATGGGCACTGATGAGAAGGCACTGGTAAGTGGCACTGATGGGCATTGACAGGCATCACTGATGGGCACTGAAAGGCAGCACTCATATATGGCACTGATAGGCAGCACTGACTGGCACTGATAGGCGGCACTGACTGGCACTGTTAGGTGGCACTGACTGGCACTTTTAGGTGGTACTGATAGGCGGCACTGATGTGCACTGATAGGCGGCACTGACTGGCACTGATAGGCGGCACTGATTGGCAGCACTGATAGGTGGCACTGACTAGCATTGATAGGTGGCACTGACTGGAACTGATAGGTGACACTGAAAGGCAGCTCAGATGGGCATGATATGTGGCATTGATGTGCACTGGTAGGCACTGATATGTGGCATTGATGTGGCACTGATGGGCAATAGGCAGGTGGCACTGCTGGGGCTACACGGCTCTTTCCGTTGATCGGTGATCCACTGTGCCCGAGGGACAAACCGCACCACCGATCGCCACGCTGCACACTCCCAGAGCCACACATGCGCAGTTAGAATGGGAGGACGTCATATGATGTCCTCCCAGAACGTGAGAACCGCCTTGCGCCCATCATTACCCTTTATGGCGGGCGGCAGGCGGTTAATTACAGGTGCATCATCTACCTGTAAGAACAACCTCAGTCTCCTTCTCCCTGAATGAGGTTATCCGGGACCAATGAGCAAGACTTTAAACGGCGCAGTCTGAGTGGTAAATGTGGTGAACCACTGCAGATGTAGGTGGAACAGCAAAAAACTGGTGTAGCAGGTGCAAGTCAAGGCAGCTGAGCTGCAGTAGTGAAACTGGGATTTTGGGGTGGAGGAACTTGACTGGCTTGCACAGAGTCCTGACCTCAACCTGATAGAACACATTTGGGATGAATTAGAGCAGAGACTGTGAGCCAGGCTTTCCCATCTGACATCAGTGCCTGACTGTCAGGGAGCAAGGAGCCAGACACATTGCAAGGAGGTGCAATTAAAGGTAGGTTTATTAATATAAAAAATAAGACAAGAGTCTATGCAAGTCCAAAAGCGGAAATCGTAGCCAAAGCCGGTGTCAAGAGCCAGGAAGAAACATCGCCAGAGCCAGGATCAGGAGCCAGGAAGAATGGTCGCCAGAGTCGGGGTCAGAAGCCAAGAGGAGTCTTAGCCAAAGCCGAGTCGGTATCCAGGAAAGCAATGAGTAGCTAAACAGGAGCTTGCTGTTGTGCAACAGACAGGATACGAATGCAATGGACAGCCACAAACAGCAGACTTATATGTGATAAGCCGCCACCTCCTGGGGAGGAGCCGCAGAGGACTGAAAGCATAAAGGATCCCACAATGCTTTGCAGACACCTAAGATGGATGCCAGCACATGGAGCAGCACAAGGTCTGAGGAAAGGTAGGACCTTGACACTGACTTCACAAATGCGCTTCTGGAAGAATGGTCAAACATTCCCATAAAGAATGGTCAAACATTCCCATAGGCACAATCCTAAACCTTGTGACACACCTTCCCAGAAGAGTTGAAGCTGTTATAGCTGCAAAGGGTGGGCCAACTCATTATTGAACCCTATGGACTAAGACCGGGATGTCATTAAAGTTCATGTGCGTGTAAAAACAGGCGTCCCAATACTTTTGGCAATATAGTGTATATGCTGAAGTATAGGAGCTATCCACCCACTAAGCACCCCAGGCCCCCATGCTTGGGCATATATGTTCTTTTTTTTAACTGCAGATTAGAAATCTCCTCCAGCAGTGCTGCATGCACTGACATATATTCTGAGAGCCCACCCTGTTGCTGTCAGAATAAACAGATCAGTGCTGCAGGTTAATGTCGTTCCTTCAAAGCAAAAAATGGTTAACAATAAAACACAGTGGCAATAGAACAGTAACTCAATAAAACAATGGTTTTTTTATTGAAATCGTTACCAAAAAAAAAAATATTATATATTTATGCTTGGGCATAATGTTCATTTTTAACTGTGGATGAGAAATATCCTCCAGCAGCGCTGTACACATTGACGTATATTCTGAGCGCAACACCCTGCTGCTCTCAGAATAAACAGGTTGGTGCTACAGCTGAATGGCATTCCTGAATAGCAAACAATGGTTAACAATAAAACACAGTAACAACAGAACATTAACTTGATAAAACGACAACTATTTTTGGCTTTTTTATTTTTGTTTAAAAATTTTAAAATTTTATTTTTTTATGGGTTTTTTTTAACTTTTTAAATTTTTTGTGGGGCTTTTTTTAAACTTTTTTTGTAACTTAAAAAAACTGTAAGCTTTCCAGGTTGTGGGGTCCCTCAGAATGTGATAGCCAGTTTCCTGACTTCCTAACATTTTTTGAGATCCTGTGTGAATGTTTACCCTAGACTGCAATAGACTGCAATCCACATCCCCACCTCTCTCATTAATGGGAATGTGCTCTAGCACAAAAAAAATATTTTAGATAGGTCATAGTTGTGATAAAGACCTAAATGTCTGCTAATAGGAGTTTCAGGTCTATTTTTGATGATTAACCACTTCCCGACCGGCCGTTGTAAAAAACGGCCGGATGGTGGCACTGCAGGGTCGGGTGGCCGTTTATAAACGGCCTCCCCGCACCCTGCTTGTGCGCGCTCCCCGGGAGCGTGCAGCACTGCGATCCAGTGCCCGCTGTGTCCTCCGGACACAGTGAAACACCGATCGTCGGACAGGACCTCTGTACGAGGTCCCGATCATGTGATCACTGATTGGCCAATCAGTGATCACATGCAAAGTAGTAAGCAAGATGTCACTTCTGACATCATTTCTTACTACGTGTGAAATCTGTGAATGTTCACAGAGGTCACATGGTACAAGGCTATTCACAACAGCCTTGTACCATGTGACAAGCTGTGACCAATCACAGCTCCCTCAGTAGTTCTCAATGCCTGAAAGAATGCAGACAGAGAGAAAGAGAAATTATTGCTTTTACATCCTATATGGGTATAAAAGCAATCAGTGTAAAAAAAAAAAAAAAAAATCTTTAGCAACCCCAAAAGTAGTACAGTGTCACCATGGTGACACTGTACTGCTAGGGTGACAGTATGTAAAAAAAACAAAAATAAAAAAATAAATAATAATATAAAAAGAAAATAAAAATGTAAAAAAAAATGTTTAAACATTATAATTTTTGGTTATAAACTAATTTGGCTTATTTTTTTTTTTACTAAAAAGATAACGGAATAAATTTTGGCCAAGATTTATGATTAAATATTATTTATTTGCAAAATTTTATAAGAAAAACACTTTTTTTCAAAATTTTGGACATTTTCATTTACATAGCAAACAAAATAAAAATCCCAGCGGTGAATAAATACCACCAAAATAAAGTTATATCTGTCTCACAAAAATGGTAAAAAATTCATATGGGTACAGTGTTGCATAACCGCGCAATTGTCATTCAAAGTGTGATTGCGCTGAAAGCTGAAAATTGCCCTGGTCAGGAAGGGGGTAAAAGTGTCCGGACTGGAAGTGGTTAAGGATATATGATACGTTGAAAAAAACATCTGTTTGGTTTTACTTACATAAAATGCCCCACGATCACATACCATCAAATATACAACACCAATAGTTTGACACTCAGTGCCACATGAGCCAATTCCAAGATTGTATAAATGTCTATATAATGGCATGCTTGTATAAAAATTGTCCACATAAAAGTGGTACCCTTTATGGAACAAGGGTGATACCAAGTCCCAAATTTTCTTGCCACTGCTCCCCTACTCGAATTGGTAAATTCAAAAGTGCCCAGTTTGAAGGCTTGTATGCAAGTTATTGGCCATAAAAGGGGTATGGGAATTCGGATACTGCCCTGAGGGACATGGATCAGTGAAAAAAAAAAATTCCAAAAAGAACCATATTTAAAGGGACAGTAATTTTTCATTGCTTAAAGTAAAAAAAAATTGAAAATTTTCTTTTAACTACTTGCCCTCCAGAGGATTTGCCCCCCTTCATGACCAGGCCATTTTTTGCTGTTCGGTGCTGTGCTATTTCAGCTGGTAATTGCATGCTCGTGCAATGCTGTACCCAAATAAAATGTAGGTCTTTTTTTCACACAAATAGAGCTTTCTTTTGGTGGTATTTGATCACCTCTGCAGTTTTTACTTTTTGTGCTATTAACAAAAAAAGACCAAAAATGTATTTAAAAAACAATATTTTTCAATTTTGGTTATAAAAAATATCAAATAAACTCAAAGTTTGTCATAAATTTAGGCCAAAATGAATTCTGCAGCATGTCTTTGGTAAAAAAAAAATCTCAATACATGTATATTAATTGGTTTGTGGGAAGGTTATAGCATCTGCAAACTATGGTATATATATTGGAATTTACGTAGCTTTTACTTTCTGACTGCCTATCACATTTCTTGAGATGCTAAAATGCTACGGCAGAACAAACACCCCCAAATGACCCCTTTTTGGAAAATAGACACCCCAAGGATTTTGCAGAGGCATGTTGAGTCCATGGAACATTTTATTTTTTGCCAAAAATGTTTTAAAAATGACACATTTTTTTTTAAACACAAAGTTGTCACTTTAATGATATGTTGCTCATGCATGCCATGGGTATATGTGGAATTACACCCCAAAACAGATTCTTCTACTTCTCCCGAGTATGGGGATACCACATGTGAGAGACGTTTTGGCAGCCTAGCGACATACAAGCCCCCAAAATCCAATGACCACCTCCATGCTTTCAAAGGGCACATTTCCTCATATCACTTCCCCACTACCTATCACAGTTTTGGGGGTCCTAAAATGCCAGAATAATACAAACACCCCCCAAATGACCCCTTTTTGGAAAGAAGACACCCCCAAGGAATTTGATAAGAGGCATAGTGAGTATTTTACAGATATCATTTTTGTCGCTGGGTTTGAAAAAGAAAAAAGAAAAGAAAAAATAAATTTTTGTTTTCTTTCTTTATTTTCCAAAAACATGTGGCAACAAATGAGATCTACAAAATACTCACCAGGCCTCTTTGCAAATACCTTGGAGTGTCTTCTTTCCAAAAATGGGTTGCTTTTACTTTCCTGGCATTTCAGGGCCAACATTAGAAGCTTATGCCACACATCACCTAGTCTTGAAGACCAAGCCTTTTCTGATACTTTTTGTTCACATGAAAAACCTGTTTTTTTTGCTAGAAAATTACTTTGAACCCCCAAAAATTATATATTTTTTTTAAAGTAAAGGCCCTAGAGAATACAACGGTGGGTTTTGAAATTTTCTACGTCACACAATATTTGCGCAGCAATTTTTAATAAACAAATCTTTTGGGAAAAATACACTTTTTAGAATTTTAATGCACAAAAACACAATATATTGCTCAATTGTTTGCTAAAGTATAAAATATGATGGGACGCCAAGTAAATAGATGCCAAACATGACATGCTTTAAAATTGCGCATGCAATGGCAACAATTTTTATTATCGGTAGGTGACGCTTTAAAAGCCTTTACAGGTTACAAATTTATATTTACACATATTTCTAGTGCTAGAATTACCGCCTTCAATCTGATGTTCATGGTGATACCTCACATGCATGGTGCAACTGCTGTTTACATACCGCCACAGGGTCAAGCTTGTGCACAAGCGCAGGGGGGCAAGGGTCCTTTTTTTTCTTCTTTTTTAGTTATTTTGATTTTTTTTATTATTTTACACTGTCCCTTTCTTTCTTTTTTTTCACTTTTATTGCTATCACCGGGAATGTAAATATCCCCTTTGACTGCAATAGGCATTGACAGGTATTCTTTTTTGAGAAATCTGGGGTCTGTTAGACTCTAGATATCTCCTCTGCCCTAACATCATCTGAGCTCACCAAGATCTTTGTGATCAATTGCTTTCCCAATTTACAAATGGCACTGTTTATATCCTGTGAAACTGAAGTGATGAAATGCTCGTAGTTTCCGATTTCTTAGACTATAGAGATGATAGAAGTCATTTTGGCCTCTGATCAGCTCTATGTTCAGCCAGCGGATCTGCCGGCTGCATTCTTGGATTCCCCTGTGGGACAGGAGAGCCCCAGAAAACTGTGAAAGGCAGCAAGGGGGGGGGGTGTCCCAACCCACTGCTCATAAATAAATTCAGCAGCTAATTGGCAACTGGGATTGCTTTTACATGAAAGCCAACCTCCAGCTCTGTGGATCAATATGACCGCAATTCATTCTTTTTTGTAATGTCCATGTTGAGGGTTAGGCCCAAAAAAGTTTTAAATTCAGAAATTGTGATAGGTTTCCATGCGAATTGTCTGGCAAGAGCTGAATTTGGGTGGGTTGCGATGTATTTTTGTGTGTATAAATTGCCTTGGCCCACAATCAGTTGGTACAAATCTTCAGTGAAAAATAGTGAAATGGATAAACACCAGTGCTGGCAGCCAACGGGGCCGATCCTGCTAACTCTGTGTTTTTGGGGACACTATACAAAGGAGGTACTAGTATAGTTCTGTTCATGATCATTATATTGATCCGTACAAACACTATACTAGTAATGGTGGTGATCAGCGACCTATAGCGTGAGCGTGATAGTGTGTGGGCAATCTAACGCTAGCTGACCCTGGATGGGTGGGGCGCTTACTGACCCTGACGTTATCTGATGTCACTAGTGGCAGGAATACTGTGATCAGTGAAAAACTCTATATACTGACACTGTACTAATGGCACTGGCTGGATGATGGGGCTATCAAAGGGATAATAGGGGTGATCAAAGGGTTAAATGTGCTAATCCAATGTGTATGTAAATGTAATGCTTTTACTCAGTACCGTGTTCTCTTTTCTCTCCCTGGACCGACCAGGGGGGCGCAAGTGTGTTCCCACCCCAAAACAGGAAACGACGCAAGATTAAGTCGCTTTGCCAAGAGCTGCTGCTTGCCTGAAAAATTGCGATTAAGCAGTTGGCTAGTATTTAAAAAAGAAAAAACCTTAACAAAATATTTAAAAAAAAAGTATTTTTTAAACATTTTTTTAAACATTTTTTTAAAAATACTTTTATCAGAATAATACAATGTTACCATAGTAACACTGTACAACTGTGGGGGGGGGGGGGGGGTTGATCAGGGTTTTTTTTTCACACTTTACTTTGCAGGAGAAATAAAGATAGTTTCCCCTGCAATGTATCCACAGCTTGCTGTAATGAACCTAACTCATTCATGAACTGTCATGAATGAGTTAGGATTTTGACAGCTCAAGATAGGGATCAGTGATTGGCTGGAGCTGGTCACATGGTATCTTTTTATGGCCATGGCAGCAGAGAACACGGGCATATGATGAATCGGGTCTGTGGACCAATATGACCGCAATTCATTCTTTTTTGTAATGCCCACATTGAGGGTTAGGCCCACAAAAAGTTTTAAATTCGGAAACAGTGATAGGTTTCCATGCAAATTGTCTGGCAATAAAGATCATTACTAGCAACACTTTGAACTGTCATGAATGGGTTAATTTCATGATAGTTCAGAATACTAGTGATCTGTGATTGGCTACATCTAATCACATGGTACAGGGTATTGTGATTGACCCCATGTATCATATGACAGCTATGGGCTAATCCCAGCTCACTAGGAAGAGAAGCAGAGCTCTTATGAATGAGATTGATTGATAACAGCTTTGCTTACATTGTGATCATCCCGTTCACTGGGATCCTCATTCCGCTGTGTGTGGCAGACACAGCAGTCACGGGGGGGGGGGGGGGGGGGGGGGAGCTGCGTGCCCTCTTGTGTTAGTTAAGCCAGAGTGGTGTACGGGTACGTCACTTTGTCTGTAGCTTCCGCCCATCTGAAGTACATTGCCAGCAGACAAGAAGCGGTTAAATATCATGTCTGGGGGTCCCCTTAAACTACCTGCAAAGTTGCACATCTGTACAATGCATAGAACCTGCTGCAG